TCGATTTGATTGTCGTGTTGGCGCTGGACATGAATCCCAGTTGTACGACGGTCTGAGGTTGTAAGACAACCGTTGTCCGGGGTGTACAGCATGCACACCAGCTCCCGTGCTGATGTAGGCGACTTATACTGATCCTCGCTTGTTTAGTGACCGCGATCACGACCGTGACAACATCATAATTCAACGCTGGCGGTACAGTTGACGACTTCTGACCTTGGGCGATATCTAGGTGTATCTTGTGTTACTATAAAGTGGGTTAGAAAAGGGGAGGAACGTCTACAGGTATGACAATTGCGATTTAGACCAGAGCCCAAAGACGGGGGGTGTCCGGGCCGTGTCTGCTCCGGACCGGTCAAAAGAAACATATCTCACGTGGTGCGTTGACCGCTTTGACCGGGGCGCATCAAAGAGGCGCATCAAAAAGTCCGAGGTTAACGTAAGCGCCCGTGCGCGTCATGTAAGTCCGCATTTGGTCGCGAGAGAAGCTTAATCAACATTAGCCTTTCCTTGTGCTTCTTCCTGGCACAGACTCTATACGTTGCACTTCAACCACATCCTCATCTTCTGACTCTGTCTCTTTCCTCTCAATTACCACGTTCTCCTCTTCGACAACCCCGATATACTCAATGTTGAACACCCCCGTTACCCCACCGCGTCGTTCAGTCAAATGGAGATTTCTCAGTAAACGTCGACGTCGGCCAAGCGCAAGCGAAAAAAAGGGGACAGTGTACATGCTTTTGGGACAACTTGGAGCGAGGAAATTCATAAAAATAGGTCGGGCAATCGACTTTAATCGGCGATTGGAACAACACCGAAAGTCGTGCTACACCGTCGTGTGGACGGAGATCGGCCACTGGAATTCGGAACACTCACACAAAGCGGGTACGTCGTTGTTGCGGTAGGGTTTGAAACGACATAATGCCTTTTCAGAATCGTGCATTCACCTGAAATTGGAACTCGACGGATTCACAAGAACGAAATTGGGTTGTCGCTGTGCGTATTTTCTCTTTCAGTGAAGATTCGTCGCTTATCTGTTATCAGGCAAGAGGAAACATAGAGAGTGGTTCGAGTTGAAGGGATATTCGATCGAGCAAGCGATTCGACTGGCGAAATGTATCATCTCGCGGCTGCGTAACGTATAGAAAATTCTCCGGCTGGTTTTTCGTTTCTCACCTAGTTCGAATTAACGTAGCGTAAAGGAAGGAATGTAGAAAAGAGGGACAGGCGGTCGTTTGAAAAGGTACGTTGCACCTCCTTCCACTATCGTTTATCATTCTAATTTGCATTGGGCAGCTCATACGCACTGCGTCAAGGAGATTCGCCACTTGGTGGCGACGTACGCCAGACTCGTAACAAAGAAATAGAGAGAAACGTCGGCGTCGTTAATTGAGAGCGATGGTTCGCCGTTCACTTTTTGAAAACCTCGAAATCAGTGAGTGAGCAGATCGTAATATTGCGGTTTCACTCATAGCCATACGTCGTGCCAGATAACTCAACGGCAGCACCATTCAAGGCTTAACTGAGGATATCGGGTGCGGAGAAAAATTGGAAGCTCTCACTATTAAGTTCAAGGAGAGGGTTATTACACAAGTAATACAAAGTTCTAAATACATCGGGGACAAATCCCGCTCTGTGTATGATGCTTGTGTATTTCAATATAATCGATTGGCCTGCCTGCGTTTTGCTCGTCGCGTTGGGTATACTCCGTGTACTGATAGCCCGGACATCGTGGCCCGGGAACGTGCAGCGAAAGAAATCTAGAGCGTGTAAGAATGAGAGATGGGGCGCGTGCCTGAGGGGCCGAAGCCATATGACTCCGTAGGCCAGAGGAGGACAGTAGCGGGTGTTGCCGCTCGCCGGCCTCGTATACTTATCATGGCCACCGAATTTGACCCGCAATTCGCTAAGTTAAATTCATAGTTAGGACTACGATCACGTGCGTTTTCTTTCTTTCCACCTCACAACCATGTCCACGTCGACTCTCGCGTCTGCGCAACTCCTGGTCAGACCCATGCTCTCATAACATGTATCCCGAAATCTTGCGAAGGCCGAGTTCCTTCAACAGAAACCAGATGCGACCAAGGGGGAATTTTATGAAATGGTCGCGGACCCTTTCTGTTGTTGCGCAAGCAAGTCATGGAGAAAGCCGGCACCCAGACCGTGACGAAGTCAGCTCGGCGACCTCCCAAACCGGAATCTGGATCACTAGGGATGCAAACACTGCGATGTACGTAGCCTGTGTCTTCTAATTTCAGAGGCATGTCTAACACTTTACTTAGGAATCTCGCTAGAGCTACATACATTAGC